AGAGAGAGAGAGAGAGAGAGAGAGAGAGAGAGAGAGAGAGAGAGAGAGAGAGAGAGAGAGAGACTGTTTAGAAGGTCGAGAGGTACGGAGATTGAATGTGGAATTATGGACGGAAGATGGACGACGAAGAGGGGAGAATAAACCATCAAAGAAGAGAAGGCATGCCAGAAAACAAAGGCCATAATCATCCACGAAAATAACAAACAAGGCAAGAGGCAGGGGACACGAGAAGGGACTGCATGGAGACGAACCTGTTTACCCAGCTTGTATGCTCGATCCAGAAGATATGAGTACTCAAGCTCTTCAAATGCTCTCTGCAAAGCGGATAGCGGCTCATTGAAATAGACTGGTAGGCAGACCCGGGTAAGGTCTTTCCCAACGTTTTCCTTTATGATTGACCACAAACTGACGGATTTCTCTTTCTGCTTTGGCTCGGGCAGCCTTTTTCTTCTCTCCACAACCGGGTAGTCTGATTCCAAGGGGGATGTCTCTGAAGTCTCCCTCCCAATCTCCCTGCTCAAGCTTGAGACTCCATCTGTGTTCTCATCGGGGGCCTCGGTCGTGTCGTCCATTCCATCCTTATGAGATGCACTGTACCTCTTCGACCCTATTGGGGTAAAGAACTCCTCAACCTGACAAAGATATTGAACAGTAGGAAGAGGGGGAAGGGAGAGTGAAGGAGATGGAGGGACACACAGGAAGGGAAGAAACAGAAGAGCACTAAGAGAGGGTGATATGAGGAAGAAGCCCAGGCATGAGCAAGAAATCCGGACAAAGGATAACGGAGAGGATAAGATGGGAGCGAGGAGAGAAGAGTGCAAGGTAGCAGGGCAGGAACCACAGCGCCGATCCACACCCGGGTGAATGTCAGAGGCAAGCTACATCTTTACACTTGTCAGCACTAAGTTCTACACTGAGGGATAGACAGGAATGAAAGGAAAGTAAGAATAAATGACTACAAGCGAAAGCATGTTATAGACAGCAAAGGGGAAAGATGGGATAGCAACAAAACAAGATTCAGCAGGCAGAAACCTTCCCAAATGCAAGCCCAACAGACACACATCACCCTCTCCCACAACCTAACCACTTGGTCTTTACACATCTACAGACTCTATTCACACCTCCAACATACAGCATACCAATCTTCACACCTCACATCTCATCTCAACCCCAAGCTCAGACCCCAAGAATCTAGAAAAGGCGATCACCACTGACACAGCACTTCCACAAGAGAGTAGAAGGTACACATATTTATCAACCTACTGCAGAGAAATGATAACATGCCAGGAAAGCCAGCCTCCTACACCGATGTACGGAGGCACACAAGTACTATGTGCGTATGTGATCAGTAGTCCACAGACCACCAAGCAGGATTCAAGGACGGTAACAGGGCGTATGAAGAGTGATATCGTAGAAATGTGTTTAAGGGAGGACGGAAAAGTGATATGGTAGAAATATGTAAATAGACACACACACGCACGTCTCAAGAGAAAGGGATGGAGAGCCTTCAACCCCCCCAGTTAGCAAACAAAAGGATGGAGATTGCTGCTGTGGTTTCAACAGGCGCAGACATCTAGAGAGGGAGGTACGAACAAGTGTGGCATCATCGGGAGCACAGCCACAGGCAGCATCACAACAGGTTTCTTCTCCCATCCGACTTACAGAAGAACTTCCGCAGCCAGAGTCAGCTTGCTGTCCTGGCTGAGGAGCGGGAGGATGAGGAGAAGAAGGCAGGACAGAAGAAGTGTCCCTTCTATCAAAATTCCTCTCTCCAGTCGCAAACTGACACACCACCGCATTGATTGCCGAAAAAACGTGCACCATCAACGTGACAACAATAGCGATGACAACAAGGATGAGTGGCACAGTGGTGCTCCTCTCCGGTGACAGGATAACAACCAAGCTGTGTATTCTGGGCTTGGCTAACCCCATCAGCATCCACGTGATCGCAATTACAAGCGGCAAGCCACAGATTGACCGCAGAAACGAGGATGATGATGATGATGATGATCGAAGCACCACGCGTTCTGAGTGCGATGATAATGGCAATGATGATGACGGTGATGACGATGACGATGATGATGCCGACGGTGATGACGACAATGACAACGATGGCAGTGGCGAAGAAGATGACAGTGGTTGTGCTGGAGACGGCAGCGTTCCACAATCCATAGATGTAGATGACGACGATGGTCGGGATGATCGCAAGGTCAACGTTGATGGTGACGGTTTACAAGTCGATGAAGATGATGCTGGAGAACCACAAGTCTATAACACCCAAAAATAAACACGTGCCGACACATGCCACCAAAAGCCGCCTCACCAACTAAAACCGTTCAAGAGAAACATCATCCGACTCCCAGATGATGATCTCCCTCAACCAGAGCCCAATCCCCCCAACGAACAACAAATACCACCAAAGGCCACACCACCAACCAAAATTATCGCCAGAAACAATTCTCCCTCGACCAGAGAGTCAAACTGCTGTCAGTGGTGGTGGGAAACTCGGAAAAAGCCAAGCGATAACAAGAACAAGATTGTCCATGCTATGCAACAATAACAATTGCAGCATCAACAAGTTCAATTAACAGTGCAACGTGCATGTCTTGACATGTGTCAGAGAAGTCAAAGAGCTTAGTAGAGGTAGGATTGGCCCAGACGATAAGGAAGCGGATGACAAGAAAGAGGCATACATAGGGTGCAAGGGAGGAGAAAGGCATACAGAGAAGAACAGGAGAGCCAACAGCAAGTACGTAACCAGACGAATGGAGAACACAAGACCAGACAGGAAAGCCAAGGGGTGGAAAAAGTGTGTGTGTGAGAGAGAGAGAGAGGGAGGGAGAGAGAGGGGGAAACAGACAGGAGGCATTGAAGTGGCAAAAGACAGCACATCCAAGACAAGCATTTGTATTAGACACAGGGGTGTATAGTTTATACAGGGGGCCCTTGCTGGGTACTTCGTGGCCTGTGAAAATAGGAAAGAGAGGGTGCATGACATGCACATGCGAGATAAAAGCTGGACTAGGAGCACGAGCAGGAGAACTCCAGGGCGACAGAATATGAGAGAGGAGAGCACACAATGCCTGAGACAATGTGAGGTAAAACTCGCCGTGATTTCAGAAAATTCTCGATGATGCCTGGAAAAAGTTGACACATGCTAAAAACTAAGAAAAGAGAATAAGACCGCGGGGGAAGCCAAAGATGATGATCTGCACTGCAGAAACATAGACGGCATTTGGAACACAGGAAGTTAGGGCAGGCGCCCAAATGTACATGAGAGAAAGTGAGAGGAGGAATATTGCAAAAAGGAGTGGCTCGCACATAATGGATGGCCATCAAAACAGAACTGGCTGGTGGCTGGTAAACATAAAAGCAAGGACGGATGCCATGTGCAAGCCGGGAACCTGGACGTGCGACCTCCACGGACAGCCGAGCGTCAGTACACCTGATAACACAAACCCATACCAGAACCAGGCTTCGCATCTAGGCAAAAATTACAGTGCACCGCCTTCCTATGTCCATCCTCACATCCATCTGCTCGTCTGTTTATCCCTATACATCTTCCATCTCTCTCTCTCTCTCTCTCTCTCTCTCTCTCTGTGTGTGCGTGTGTGTGTGTGTGTGTGTGTGTGTGTGTGTGNGTGTGTGTGTGTGTGTGTGTGTGTGTGTGTGTGTGTGTGTGTGTGTGTGTGTGTGTGTGTGTGCATGTGTGTCGGTGAGTACCCGCACATCCACATTAAACAATGTCAAATAATTTCCCCGCATGTGCACAGCGAACAGCATATAGCCCTACATATGAATGCGTGCAATATTGGCGAAGGAAAAGGGTAGGCAGCAGAAACACAAGACGACCAGAACACAGAAAGGTAACCACGTATACGCATCTCTGGTGTAGAACGCGAAATGCCGAACACATCCCTTAGACAATAGACAAGTAGCAGCAGAGAAGTCCTCACTCACTGAGTCAGGCGTCAGAAGTATGATCTCATCGGCACAGGTGGCATACAAGAATTATACAAGTGATGTGGATGATATAGCATGGCAAACCAGAAAAAGGGGAGGCTTGAAATCTTATCCAAGGCTACCGAGTCCCCCGAATAGAACACACGGTCAACTGTAACTGTCTTTCGGGCAACTTCCAATCTATAAATACAGTGAAAATAACCATCGAGTTCTATTTGGGGAAGACCGTTGCACCATGAGATCACACACAAAAACTGATCGTCAGACACTGTCACCCATGCCTTATGCTCTATCCTCTGAGAAAAAGTGGGCATGACATTCAGAAGAAGATCCACAAGATGTACCCAATCAAGGAGGAAGCTTCAGCAACTTTACAGACACACGGCGCCAATAAAAATATAACCTGCAAATAGCGATGATGGCAAATGCAATTACATTCCTGGTCACGATTAGAAGCTGCCAGAGAATAAACAAGAGGACAGAGGGTGCAGCGGATGTAATTTTTTCAATACTATTCAAGAAGCAATAGAGGATGAAGCATAAGGTCTGTCATCAGTACTGTAGATGAAAATCGGAATTATTCCAGGGCAGTGGAGATGTAATTCCAACATCATGGCTACGGAAGTGTACAGTACTTTAAAGAAAATGAGACCATATACAAGGTCTGTATAAGTAGGTGATTAGAGCAGTGTACAGTACAATATACGGTCTGTCTCACTACTGTAAAAGTCGCCATGTGCACAGCAGATGAAATAAAGTGAAGAGCTGCATTGGATAGGGAAGTGCACCGTACATGAAAGAAAACGAGACCTTATACAACGTCTGTATCAGTACGTGATTAGGGCAGCGTACAGTGCGATATACGGTCTGTATCAGTACTGTAAAACCATGTGCACAGCACATGAAACAAAGTGAAGAGCTGCACAGTACATGCAAAAACCGCAATAAACATCAGCTTGCTTTTCTAAAAAGAAGCAGCAGCAGCAGCAGCAGCATAGTGATGCGTCCCTTCTCAGCTGAGAAGCAGCAGCAGCGGCAGCAGCATAGTGATGCGTCCCTTCTCAGCTAAGAGGCCTGAATGGTGAAAAAGACAGCAGCTATTGAAAACAGGTGCAGAGGGAGGACGAGCATCAGATGTAAGGAGGCAGAGAGGCGTGAGGGGAGGAACCTGCTTGGAGCTCTGAGTCCTGTGACAGCGAGGTCTCCTGTGACTGTGAGTCCTGTTGTCACTGCTACCGTCTTCCCCCGAACATAACGCACCCTGAAAATGAGCGTATACAAGCTATATTTCTGTTCCGGTACAGGCAAGATAAGGGTGCGAACCTGCTTGGAGCTCTGAGTCCTGTGACAGCGAGGTCTCCTGTGACTGCAAGTCCTGTTGTGACTGCTACCGTCTTCCCCCGAACATAACGCACCCTGAAAATGAACGTATACAAGCTATATTTCCATTCCGGTACAGCCAAGATAAGGGTGCGTTGTGTTCGGGGGAAGACGGTAGTCATCTTTCAACTGCGAGTCCTCCTCTGACTGTGAGTGTGGGCCATTGTGGTCCTTAGAACAACAGACAGGTAGGAATCGCTGCTACCGGGATTCTAGAACCACAAGACTGAGTCCTTCAGGACATCCGTTAAAATTGGAACGATACAGAGAAGATTAGCATGGCCCCTGTGCAAGGATGACACGCATTAATCGAGAAATGGTTCCAAGTTAAAAAAAAAAAAAAGAACCACAAGACTGCTGGGTGTGGGCCATTGTGGTCCTTAGAACCACAGACTGAGTGTTCACTGTGACTGGGGTACTAGAACCACAGACTGCTAGGAATCGCTCTGATTTTGGTCCTAGAACCAAAACGGACTGAGGGTTCACTGTGACTGGGATGCTAGAACCACGTTCTAGTGGGGAGGCTCCCTTTCGTTCCTATCGGATAAAGGCAGATTTCTGACAGATGGCGATCTGGCAAGCAGAAGAATGCACAAAGGGCATCCTCACACTACGACTTTTGCCACTGAATTTGGTCGGAAATAGGGATAGACGCATCGAGGAAAGCCCTAGTCTAAGCATTTTTATGCCTAAAGACCTCAGGCAATGAAGGCAGTGTTGGGCAGACGATTCAAAACCCTTCACGAGGTGGTTAAAGGTACCACCGATTAGACATACCCAAAAGACTTTCAGACTGAGCGTCTTGCCACCCTCCACACAAAAAAAGCACGGGGTGACTAGTGCTTATGTCGTCATAGAAAACTCCCCGGTGAACCGTAGGAAGAGAGGGAGATCCGTTAAAACTCGATCAATACAGAGAAGATTAGCATGGTCCCTGCGCAAGGATGACACAAAAAAAGAAAAGAAGAGGATGACAATCCCTCTCTCTCTCTCTCTCTC